ACTTAACGTTAGACGCTAGATGAGGTTGAACCCTCGCAGACAAGCTTTCGTAGGGACACACCGTATCGCCGAAGGTCGGGGCCGCTCCCCTTCAGGGCCGCCCCCCCTTGACACGTCCCTGGCCGCGCCCCTGCCAGAGCTTCGCACTGGAGTTATGTTGTTCCCGTCGTGCTTCAGGACCGCGTCCCAGGAATACTCTCGAGCACCCAGAAAAGTGTCGAAGAAGTGCCCAATCAGTGTCAAACGAGTGTTTCCCAGGGCCTGGCACGTGAAAATCCTTACGTGCCGGTGCCTCTCTGGTGCTCGAAATTATTCCTGGTGATCGTGGCTATGTAAAGCAGGTACAGGACATTTGTTTATATATTGGATTCGAAGAATATAGGAATGGTACTACAGGATTAATGTATGAGTAAAGTTATGCATGAACTCATCGTTGTGTTTAATACTAAATCCCTGCATTTTAAATACATGATCCGCACGCAGAGCATCTATTGAAAACGGCACAGTAGATGGGGACATCACAACGCTAGAGCCCAGCCGTGGCAACACGGGACGCACGAGAGTGTCGCGCAGATCCCAGACTCGCTGGAAACAGCATCGATCCCGCCCCTCTCCGGTGCAGCAGGGCAGCCCACGAGCCCCCAGGGGAGGACAGGGTAGAGGACGGATGCGAGACGAGGAAGAGGATAAGGGGGGAGGAGGGCAGGACAGAAGGAAGGACGGAGGAGGAGGAGCGATCCCCGAACGATCCCCTGCGACTGCCTTGGAGCCGCCCTCCTCCTCAATCTCCTTTTTGAGCAGGGACCGCCCGTCCTGGCATTTCTCTGAGCCTAGCATGAAACTTTCTTGGAACCCAGAAAAGTTCTATGAGCAAAACCAATGTTCTTAGAACATCGACCCGTTGTGTGAAAACAAGACACACTCAGCCAGAAACGTTCCAAGAACATTTCGTGGAGACCACAAGAGATCCTTAAAACACCCTTTGGTGGGCCTCTAGGCACGCCAGGACGCTTCGTCGCTGCTTGACAACCTCCTTTGCCCTCGTGGATCTGTCGGCTACACGCAGGAGTGACCCTGGGTGAGAGTGACCTTTGATGCGCGGCTCTTGGGGGGCCGCCAGGGGGGCCAAACACGAGCGCGCTGGACGCTGCTGCCCCATCGCACTCGGCGATCGGGGGACCCCATTGGGCCCGCACCCAAAGGTCACTCCGGCGAAAGGTCACTCTTACGTCCAGTCGGATCTGAGCTTATGTCGGGCCTGCCCCCCATACAGGGGGATCTTCGACGAACAAAAAAAAAACCCAAAATAATAAAACAATACTCCAAACATAGTCAGGGGACTATTCCTGGGGGTATCGTTTGACCTTTTTGGGGTATCTTTGGGGTATTTGTCATTCTTTTTCGTGGAAAATCACCCTGTAGGGGGACACGCCCGACTTTAATCTGAGCTGCCCCGCTCACCGCCCTTCCATAACTGGGGGAGCTGTGGTCCTTACCCCCCTGGGGGAACCCATCGCCTCGACGATCTCTCGAGAGGGGTGTCGAAATCGATGGGTCCCCCAGGGGGGTAAGGACCGCAGCTCCCCGAGTTGTGGCTGGCCCTTGCGTTCGGCGGTGGACAAATCTCCCTGTAGTAGACCTCCCCTTAGTGAAAACGGCCTGCGACCGAAACCGGCGGACCTGGACCCGCAAAAATGACGGCCGCGACGCCCTCTCGCGCACCGAAGACGACCAATTCCTCAATAAATGTGTCAGGGCAGGAGGTCTGTCCAGCCCCGTCTTACGTCCGGTCGGATCTGAGCTGCCCCGCTCACCGCCCTTCCACGGGTCTTTCCCCACGGGCTTCACGCGGGAGCCCTCCTTCTGCACCTCCTCGGCGCGGGGCCTGCCGGGCCGGGAGCCGGCCGCTCCTCCAGCTCGCCCATTCCCCCTCCCTCTCTCCAGCATCCCCCCCCCCTTCCTCCTCCTCCAACCCCACCTTGGAGCCAGCCCGTCCTCCGCCTCCTCCTCCTCCTCCACCTTCTCCTCCTCCTCCTTCTCCTCCTCTTCCTTCTCCTCCTCTCCTCCTCCACACCCGCATCCCTGTCCCGCTCCTCCTCCTCCTCCTCGCCCTCCTCCTCCTACTCCTCCTCCTTCTCGTTCTCCTCCTCTGCCTCCTTCTGTATACATTCCTTGTCCTCCTCCAACTCCTCGTCCTCCTTCTCCTCCTCCTCCTCCTGATCCTCCTGATCAGTCCTGATTCTCCTGATCGTCCGCCCTCTTTCCTCGTCACTCGTCCTCGCTCCTTCCTCTCCTCCGCTCTCGGGCACACCCGCTGCCACTCCCTACACGGAATCGGCCGCCATGTGGTGTGGTGCGGACACCTCAGGAGGGAAAGCGAAGGTCTGACATCGTCCTCCGATTATCCCCGCCACGAGGCCTGCCGGTCTTGGAATCAACAACCACCCTGTAGATAACCCGCGTGTGCAGCGGCGGGATGACGCCGTCAAACCCCACGCACGACCTTCGGCTACACGCCAGAGTGACCCAAGAAAAAGGGTGACCTTTGCCTTTGGCGCGCGGACTACGGGCGCGCAGCGTGGCCAAATCCAAGCGCGCAAGCAGCCCTTCTCGCATCGCGCTCGGCGAGCGGGGGGGGACCCGGGTGAGCCCGCGCCAAAGGTCACTCCGGCGAGGGGTCACTCGTATACCCAGACCCCGAAGCCATCATTATTTCATGATCGGGAGCGGCCAAAAGGGGGGTGTCCAAGAGGGGGTGGGTGCAAATCATGACCAGCGGCATGTGCGCGGCCCAGCGGGGGGGCCAGGGACGTAATGAAATAAGAAGAGGCGCCATGAAATCTGGGGAAACATCATGGCCCCCGCCATAGTATCCACCCCCCTAGTCATCACCCCCCTCTTTGCCGCCCCCGACATGACGTCGAGCCCCAAAAATCTCGACCCATTCCCCGGGAACGTTTTTTTGTTATCCTGAATCGTTTTTGACGGTCCTGGGGCCCGCCGAGGGCCCCCAGAGGCCGAGAATAACAAACAACTCCCCGTCGCATTTTTTTCACGACTTGAGGAGGTCTGGGTACGTGCAGTCGAGGCCTGGGCAGCAAGAACATGTTGCTGCCACCGGTGTCCGGCGTGATGAATGCGAACTTCGGGTTGGTGATGTCGGAGACGACGCCCTCTGGAAGGTGGGAGGGGGGAGGTGGCTGGGAGGGAGGGGGGAGGGAGGAGGAGGAGGAGGAAGAGGAGGAGAGGACGAGGAGGAGGAGGAGGAGGAGGAGAAGAAGGAGGAGGAGGAGAGAAGGAGAAGGGGGGAGGAGGAGGAGAAGGAGGAGGAGGAGGAGGAGGAGGAGGAGGAGGAGGTGGAGGTGGAGGGGGAGGAGGAGGAGGAGGAGGAGGGAGAGGAGGAGGAGGAGGAGGAGGAGGAGGAGGAGGGGAGGAGGAGGAGGAGGAGGAGGAGGAGGAGGAGGAGGAGGAGGAGGAGGAGGAGGAGGAGGAGGAGGAGGAGGAGGAGGAGGAGGAGGAGGAGGAGGAGGAGGAGGAGGAGGGGAGGAGAAGGAGGAGGAGGAGGAGGAGGGAGGAGGGAGGAGAGGAGGAGGATGGAGGAGGAGGAGGAGGAGGAGGGAGGAGGAGGAGGAGGATGAGGAGGAGGAGGAGGAGGAGGAAGGAGGTGGGCGGCCGCGTCCCAGCCGTAGGGCAGGTGCCCGGCGGCCGCGACCCGCTCGGCCGCGGTCTCTTCGGCCATCACCTCGTCGTCCAGCGGCTGGACGTCCTCGGCCCTGGGGCGGCCCGTCTTCGAGTCCAGGACGAGCCTGGTGCTGGCGGGTGGTCATGTTAGGTCGGGCGTGCCCCTCCTACAGGCAGAGATATTGGGGCGAAAACAAAACAGTCAAAGCAGGTCCCCAAATAGGCAAGAAGACTCAACAAGAACACCCAAAACGTCCCCAGATTATATTCCCAAACCATCCTGTGGTGTTGGGTCCTCGTTTTGAAGACGGTCCGCGTTCCTCCCTCCTTCGTCCCTCCTCCCACCCCCTCCTCCCTCTTCCCTTTCCTCCCTACGTTTCACCCACTCGGTACATCGTCTCGTGGCCCCATAGGGAGCTCCACCGAAGCCCCCAGTGGGACCGTCCAAGTGCGCCCCGGAAACCCAATTTGGCAAACCACTCACTTCGTGGCCCCATAGGGAGCTCCACCGAAGCCCCCAGTGGGACCACCCGCGTGCGTCCCGGAAACCCAAAGTGGCACTTTCATCCACCCGCTAGCTTCGTGGCCCATAGGGAGCTCCACCGAAGCCCCCAGTGGGACCGTCCGCGTGCGTCCCGAAACACCTGATTTTGCATTTTCACCCACCCAGCACAACGTTTCGCAGCCCCAAAGGGAGCTCCACCAAGGCTTCAATGCCACCGTCCGCACGCGTCCCGAAAACCGAATGTGACCTTTTCACCCACTCGGTACAGCGCTTTGTGGCCCCATGGGGAGCTCCACCGAAGCCCCCAGTGGGACCGCCTGCATGCGTCCCGAACACACCCAATTTGGCACGTTCACCCACCCACTACAGCGCTCCGTGGCCCCATAGGAAGCTCCACCGAAGCCCCCAGCGGGACAATCCGCACGCGTCCCACATACCCAATTTGGCATTTTCACCCACTCGGTACAGCGCTTTGTGGCCCCATGGGGAGCTCCACCGAAGCCCCCAGTGGGACAATCCGCATGCGTGCCACACACCCTTGTTGGCAGGTTCACCCACCCAGTAAAGCGCTTCGTGGCCCCATAGGGAGCTCCACCGAAGCCCCCAGTGGGACCGCCCGAGCGCGTCCCAAAACATCAAATCCCACCAGCCCTCTGGGCGTCGGTGGTTTAGGGCGTTTCCTCTTCCACCCCTCCTTCTTCCCCTTCGGGGAGGGGTTTACCCCTCCCCCTACCCCCTCCCCATGGACCTGGACAGGGGGTTCCGCGAGTCGTCGGGGCGTCGGAAACGGCCTCGGCGAGGAAGCCCAAATCATTGATTTGACTAAGGTTTTGGCCCCATTTTGGCCTTCTGGGGAGGCGACGCTAATTCATGCTCCCCTCTTGTTTGATCGATCTCCTCCGAGATGGCCCCAAGAGCGCTCCCAAGGCTCCCAAGGGTGCACCAAGAGGGCCCCAAGAGGTTGCCAGGAGGCCCCAAGAGGCCCCCAAGAGGCGCCCAGGATGCCCCCAAGAAGCTCCCAAGAGACCCCCAAGAGGCCCCAAGAGGCCCCCCAAAGGCACCCAAGACGCTCCAAGAGGCCTCGGCGAGAATGCTAAATCCATTGAGTTTACGTAGGTTTGGTCAACATGTTGGCCTCCTGGGTGGGGGGGCACTGATTAAGACGACTCCAAGAGCGCCTGGGAGAGCCCAAGATGACCTCCAAGATGGCTCAAGATATCCCAAGATGCCTCAATATGGCTCTCACGATGCTCCAAGAGGCCCCAAGACCGCTCCAAGACGGCTCCAAGAGGCCAAAGAGCTCCCCCAGGAGGCCCCGAAGAAGCCAAAATCATTCCAAAACCTTAGGACATCAATTCAAGAGCGCCCCGGAGGCCCCAGGAGGCCCCAACTGGCGCCGAAGAGGCCTCCAAGAGGCTCCCAACAGACACCCAAGAGGCCTCTAAAAGCAATCGAAGCACCCAAGACGTTCTAAGAGGCGTCCGGAACCGCCAAGAGGACCCCAAGACGCTCCAAGACGCCTCCACTGGGGGACACTTCCTCTGTGTACTGCCCACTTCCCTGATCGAGGCAATTCCTCTGGGCATCTTTTCTGGATGGGCTGGTGGGGATACGCGAAGCGGCTAGAATTTTGCATTTTCACCCACCCAGTACAACGCTTCGCAGCCCCAAAGGGGGACCGCCCGCGTGCGTCCCGGAAGCCCAATGTGGCACTTTCACCCACCCAGTACCACGTTTCGTGGCCCCGTAAGGAGCTTCACTGAATCCCCGAGCGGGACCGCCTGCATGCGTCCCGAGCACACCCAATTTGGCATTTTCAACCCACCCTGGACAGCGCTTTGTGGCCCCATAGGGAGCTCCACCGAAGCCCCCACTGGGACCGCCTGCATGCGTCCCACATACCCAATTTGGCAGTTTCGCCCACCCAGTACAACGCGTTATGGCCCCATAGGGAGCTCCTTGGCGTCTGTGTGGTCGGGCTATTGGCAGCAACACTCCCCTGAGTCAGCCCGGCAGTGCTTGTCGCAGTTGAGGTCTGAGGCTAGGAACAGCCCTCTTCTGGCGCCTTTAACCCTTTTCGCAGTTGTGCCAGGTTCTGTCGAAGATCCCGGACGGACGGGGTAGAGGTCCCGACATGATCCCCCCTCGTCTCATCAAAGATGCCAGCATGGAGGCCAAGGAAGCCTTCTTGAAGCTACTCATAGCAATTGAAGATTCGGTCACGCTGCCTTTTGCCCAAGCCTATTGTCTTATAGCTCTGCTTGACAAGCCGGATGGCGGCCTCCGCCCCATAGCATTAATGGGTTTCGCGTATGTTGTCTTGTTGCGTTTAAGGCACCCCGAAGTGTCGGCCTGGGATAAGGCCACCGCGGGAGTGTGGGATAAGACTGTGGGAGGTGGGGCTGACGAGGCGGGGTGGGAGGATGAGCTTGACACTGAAATTGCTATTTTGCAAGGCTTCATGGTCGGTGGTGGCCTGGTCGACCTCACCAAGATTTATGACCAAGTTGGCATGCCAGAGCTGGTGTCTCAGGCGAAAAGTCTCAACTACCCTCTTCGCCTCCTTGCGCTCGCAGTGGAAGCTTATCTCGGCCCCCGTCTTCTGACCCTCGACCAGGCAGTGCACCCTGGAATCATCCCGTCAGGAGGGGTGTTGCCAGGATGTGGTCAGGCTGTGTCTCTTTCGCGCGCGCATTTGCATGCCCCCCTGGCTGCCACGCACACTGTTCACAAAGCGTCTCACACCAGGCAGTGGATTGATGACATAGCTTTTCGCATTTTCGGCACAGAGCCTCTTATTCGTGAAATGTTTCCCCTGGTGGTCCGCACCCTGGTGAGGGGCCTCTTGGGAGTAATTATCCCGGCAAAGCAACCTAACAGCGATGTGTAGAAGCATATCTGAAAGCATTCCCCTTAAGATTCAGATGAAAATCAAGTTGTCGAATTCTGCTGTTCTCGCAGTCGTAGTCGCATTCGCGATGACAGTCGCAGCGGCAACGGCAGTCGCAGTCACAGCCTCAGCCTCAGCCTGCCTCAGCCTCAGCCTCAGCCTGCCTCAGCCTCAGCCTGCCTCAGCCTCAGCCGCAGCCGGCCGGGGCAGCCGGCCGGGGCAGCCGGCCGCCCTCCCCTCCTGCTCGTCCTCCTCCTCCTCCTCCTGCTCGTCCTCGTGCTCCTCCTGCTCGTCCTCTTTCTCCTGCTCCTCCTCCTCCTCCTCCTCCTCCTCTTTCTCCTGCTCCTCCTCCTCCTCCTCCTCCTCCTCCTCCTCCTCCTCCTGCTCGTCCTCGTTCTCGTCCTCCTCGTCTTGCTCGTCCTCCTCCTCCTGTGCTCCTCTCCTCTTCCTCCTCCTCCTCCTCCTCCTCCTCCTCCCTCCTCCTCCTCCTGGTCCTCGTTCTCCTCCTCTGGTGCTCTCCCCCCCTCCTCTCCTCGTCCGCCTCCTCCTCCTCCTCGTCCTCCTCCTCCTCCTCCTCCTCGTCCTCCTCCTCCTCTTCCTCCTCCTCCTCCTCCTCCTCCTCCTGGTAGTCCTCCCCCTCCCCTCCTCCTCCTCCTCCTCCTCTTCCTGGTCGTCCTCGTTCTCGTCCTCCTCGTCTTGCTCGTCCTCCTCCTCCTGGTGTTCTCTCCTCCTCCTCCTCCTCCTCCTCCTCCTCCTCCTCCTGGTGGTCCTCGTTCTCCTCCTCCTGGTGCTCTCCCCCCCCCTCCTCCTCCTCGTCCTCCTCCTCCTCCTCCTCGTCCTCCTCCTCCTCTTCCTCCTCCTCCTCCTCCTCCTCCTCCTCCTCCTGGTAGTCCTCCCCCTCCCCTCCTCCTCCTCCTCCTCCTCCTTCCTGGTCGTCCTCCTCCTCCTGGTCGTCCTCCTCCTCCTGCTCGTCCTCCTCCTCCTCCTGCTCGTCCTTCTTCTCCTGCTCCTCCTGCTCCTCGTCCTGCTCCTGCTCGTCCTCGTCCTCCTGGTCTTGCTCGTCCTCCTCCTCGTCGTGCTCTTGCCCCTGCTGAAAATGTGGCCCAGGAATGGGAGTTCTGGGAAGTCGAAGAGCACGAAGTTGCCTACAGTTGGCTACGGGCATTCAAAATGTGGCCCGGGAATGGAGTTCTGGGAACTCGAAGAGCACGAAGTGGCCTACAGTTGGCTCCGGGCATTCAAAATGTGGCCCGGGAATGGAGTTCTGGGAACTCGAAGAGCACGAAGTGGCCTACAGTTGGCTCCGGGCATCCAAAATGTGGCCCGGGAATGGAGTTCTGGGAACTCGAAGAGCACGAAGTGTGTGACTGTTGCATCCGGCCCTCCAGAATGTGGCCCGGGAATGGCGTTCTGGGATCTCGAAGAGCACGAAGTGTGTGACTGTTGCATCCGGGTATTCAGAATGTGGCCTGGGAATGGAGTTCTGGGAAGTCGAAGAGCACGAAGTGTGTGACTGTTGGTGAAAAACGAGCCCGGCACCCTGCCGCCCGGCAACTCCCCAACACCTGCCCGGACCCCCCTGTGGAGTGATCTGTGAGCTCTTTTGAGTCAACTAGAAACCTATCAGTCTTCGCTGTTAGGTAAAAAGCCAGCTCTCGGTTCCGAAGTGCGTTTTCATGGCCTCGCACTCCCAGCTGCGAGAGCTTCTGCCCAAGCTTGCCTCGGGCACTGCTCTGGAGAGTGCCAAGTCTGTGGCTGCCGCGAGGGACCTTGGACATGACACTACTTTCGGCTGCAGGCGTTCTGTCAAGGTGCGCACAGCCAGGTTTGGCCGCGGTTTTAAGGCTGCGGGGAAGATAAGGAGGTTCACAAAAACTGATAGGCGAGCTCCCAAGCTCTTTTTCACGAATTCGTATCCCAAGTCCATGTGGGCGGCAGAAGTGCACGGTGTTTGCCCTACCTCTCTCAAGCGTCTCCGCAGCAGCGCTCATGCTAGCAGCTTGGTAAGTGGCAGAGGCACGTGCTGCACCACAGCAATCCGCCTGACCTACGGGGCCGGGCGCGATCCAGTGCAAGTTCATGTCCGTCGCCTCGTCACCACTTGGCTTGGCCGGCTCGGAAAGCGTCCTGGGCTTCTGGAGCGCGTGGAGTCTGTGTGGGGCCGTTCTCTGGATCGCGTCAGGAAGGGCTGGGCGTGGGTGCGGGGGCCTCTCAGCGCACTGCAGGCAACTTTAATCCACCTTGGATGGCAGGTGCCCAGCCCTCGTACCTTTTTCAGCCCGTCCGGAGAGGAATTTGCTCTAGTGAATGGTGGTGACAGTCCTGCCACGCAGCTGCTGCAGGATCTAGATGACACCATTGAGACCAGTCATTGGATAGAGGCCTCGAAGTTTTATCTCGGCAAAGGTGCTGAGCGAGGGGTCTCCTGGCAGCATGTAGGTGAGCTCACTAGGCATTTAGTCAGCGAAGGTGAAGCTGGCCTTGCCGCCATGGTGAGAGTTGTTGCCTGCGGCGGTATTTGGCCAGAAGAAAGAAAGCATGAGTGCGCTCTCGTTCCTGATCCCGTGTGCCAGCGCTGCCTGAGAGATGCCGAAACACCCAAGCACCGAATTTGGCAATGCCCGTGCAATGCCGATAGCGAGCTTGTCAGGGTCCAGGTCAGCGAGCATTTAAGGCATCAGGCTATCGTCGAATTCGACGCCTGCCCAATATTTTGGGGACGGGGGCTCATACCTCTTGATTGGTTCTCCCTCCCTCCTCCGCCTGAGCAGCGCTTCCTCGAGTACCACGGGTATGAGCCCTCGGAACCCTTCCCTGGAGGCATTTACGGGGCTGACGGTGCAGGAGGTCCTTGGTCGAAGCATCCTGTGCTGCGCCGGGTGGCTTTCGCTTTCGTCAGGCTTGACGCTTCCGGGGATGATTTTTATTGGAGCCATGGGGTCACGGGTTTGGTCGAAGGCAAAAGGCAGACGGTCCCAAGGGCTGAGCTTACAGGCCTAATTGAGGCCGTTCGCCATGTTGCCAAGAATGAAGACCTGACTCTTGTGTGTGATCATATAAACCATGTGAACGCCTACCATAAAGGAAGGCACCATACCTATCGCCTTGCCAATGCAGATCTGTGGTGGGAGTTCTGGCTCCTTGTTGATCTGCGCACGGCTGAAACTCATCTTGTGCATTGCCCTTCCCACCTTGATAGTGATGACAAGTTTCGCAGGTTTTGGCGCACGTCGGTCGCAGAGCATGTTTATGTCAATCGTGCTGCGGACCATCTCGCTGACCAGCGTGCCGGGGCTGCTCAGATCCAGTCTCATATCTGCCGGGAGGTGCTTGCACTTGAGGAGAAGGCGAAATATGTCCTGCTGCGTGCGGCCTTCCTCACTGTTGCGATAGCGTCCCGCCCGAAGGATCGCTCGCGCGTTGTCGCTAAGAGCATCGTGGACCGTAAAGAGAAGGCCAAGCAGCGCAGGCTTGAATTCATTCGAGCCTCTTCTCACCAGTTTCTTAATGTCACGGGCACTTCTTGGAGGTGCTCTGGGTGCGGCCTCCATGCCCGTGAGAGGGCGAGAGGTTTCCGGGACTCCGTTTTGTCGGCTTGCCCCGCCCGTGCTCCCAGGCCTCCCGTCCCGCTCCCCAGGGTTGTTCCTTCCCTGGAGCCCGAGGCCCCCGTTGATGAGTGGCTCTGGCGCCGTTTGGGTTTGGAGGATCCGCCCCAGAGAGTTGCCCACCCTGCCTTTATAGGGGGACAGCAGTTGAATTCAACTCACGAGCTCTGGTTTAAAGGGCGCTTTGTGTTTTGTGGTCTGTGCGGGTCCTGGGCCGCCCAGCGACCAGTCAACCTGCTGATTGGTTGTTCTGTGGCCCTGGAGGGCCCACACAAAATCTCCCCGAAGCAGTTGCAGGCGCTCCAGCGAGTACGCAAGGGTAAGCCACCTCAGCAGACTGCCTCATCTTGGGGCGAAAATTGTACCCTGGAGCTTTGATTTGTTTCACCGTCAAGTTTTAACCTGCTGGCAGAGTTTGGCTTGATGATGCACACAGTGAAAAGCCCCATAGGGAGCTCCACCGACGGCCCCAGTGCTACCGCCCGCATGCGTTCCCCCCCAAACCCAATACAAAATATCGTGGCTGCGTAGGGAGCTCCACCAAGGCCCCAGGACTACCGCCCGCATGTGTTCCCAGTGCAGCGAGCGCTTCGTGGCACCATAGGGAGCTCCACCGAAGGCCCTGGTGCTACCGCCCGCATGCGTCCCCCCACCCAGTACAGCGCTTCGTGGCCCCATAATGAACTCCACCGACGGCCCCAGTGCTACCGCCCGCATGCGTTCCCCCCCCACCCAGTACAGCGCTTCGTGGCCCCATAGGGAGCTTCACCGGAGAAGAGATTCACAATGGCGGTACCCACAACTGCATGTGGTTGGGTCCTTCGCCAGGACAATTCTGACTGTTCTGGAAGATTCCTCCTGTAGAGAGACATGCCCTGGCAATGTGGGGTGACCCCACTGGGGGGCGAAGAGAAAGGCCTTACAGGGGCCCTCCAGGGCTCCTTTCGGGCCCCCGGTGTCTCCAAAAGGGGCCTCAAAGGGCTCCGTTTAGCACGTATTTCTTCCCCCCCCCATGCGGGCCCACGCCCCATTACCACCCGCGCAACCTGTACTGGACGCGGGTCCCCGCCGGGGGGATCTCGTTGTCCCAGGCGGCGCACGATCTCGGCAGGCAGAACATCTTGTCCCCGCCGCTGTCCTGCTCGATGAACCCGAAATTGTCGGTCTCCTTGCGTTTCGCCGCCATTGTCCCGTGGTGCACGGTGTTGGGATCGAATGGGTCTGGCTCCTCCGCGGTCACGTTGTCAGCCCTGCATGGGCCAAGGGGGCGGGGCGAGGGAGAGAGGAAGAGGATAGCTGGCATGATGGGGCAGAACCAAAAGCCGAGACAGGGGAATACGCGAGGTTGCATGCTTCATGCCTAAGAAAGAGGAACTACTGGTTCCTAAAAGCTCATCTGCCTTCAAGCCGTGTCCACCGCTGTCGGAGCGCGTGCTGCTGAAGACCTCGATTGACATCCAGCCCCGGTGAGGCTCTCAACGCTCCCGAAAACTCCCCTAGAGAGCGAACATGGCGAAAACCCTCGGGCGCAAGGGTTGAAATCGCCAGAAAGGTGTGGGCTCCGAGAGATCTCTGGAGACCTCTAGAAATCGCAGAGGGTCTTAGAAAACTTCGCACAGGGCCAAGAACGCAACAAGCAAACAGAAAAGCGCAACACCAGACATCGAACGTGGAACCTCAAAGCTGGACCCTCGAGGGAGGGATCGTTTCTTTGGTCCACCTGGGGGCAACCAGAACACATGGTGTGCACATGCTGTGCTGCCATGCGCCGTTCATAATCACGAACGCGCGCGCATTCCGAGCGCGCATTCCGAGCTGCATTCCGAAGGCCATTTACGTATATGGTAGAGGAGAGCGACCATAATTTGAATTTCAGCATCTGAAAAATTTCAACACAGACATGTGAATGACTGTGGAGGGCTCCTGAGGCTCCGTGGACTGCCCAATACTGGGCCTGTCTGGAAGCTTCTCGGGCGCATCTTGGGCCATCTCCGGGGCTTTATCTGACGGCATGGAAGTATCTTGAACCCTCTTCGGGCCCAGATGCTCATGTCTGCGGGGCCCTCTGTGGTCGTGTGGGCCAGTCAAAATCCGGACAAACGAACACGGCCAAATCACCGAAAGACAACAACTCCCTGGTGTGCCCGCTGGCGGCCTCTCTTGACTTCCTACCAGACCACCCTGGGCCAACCCGAGGTCACGAATTTCGCGTTTGGGCGAGTACGAGCTCTGTGTTTTTTTTTTCGATGTTCCCCGACCCCCCCCCCACACTGGAAGTGGGGGCAAATTGAGGTCTTCGGGTTGGGTTGGGGTGAACTGGTGGGTGGTGATCTCTCGGGCCCTCTTGCGACGGCTCGGGGGCTTGTCGGGCCCCCTCGGGCCGCCGCGGGGGCATCGAAAGCTGTCCGGGGGGGGCCTCGCTTGCCCGTAGAAAGACGCCTTCTGTGATGAAGCCCCAATGTGCAGTCATCGGCCTGACCTACGGAACAATAAGTAAGGAACGAAGCCCCATGTTTCTTAGGAGTAACGCATAAGGAACGACAGATCATGCATCACGCATCAGGAGCGCTGAATAACGCATGCGAGCCTGAGGAACGACCGGGCCCCTCTTGAAAAGTAGGTGCTCCTTACCCAAGCCGATCACTGTACGGTAGTATTATGTCGGGCGTGTCCCCCCACAGGGGGATGTTCGACGAAAAATGAAAGGTACCCCCAAAATGCCCCAAAAAGGTCAACAACAAAATCAAAAAAAAGTCCCCAGACTATGTTTGGATTATTGTTTGATTATTTGTGGTGTATTTTGTTTTTTTGGTCGAAAATACCCCTGTAGGGGGACAGGCCCGACATTAAGATAGAGGGCGGTCCATGGCAACCCGCAGTGAGCCAGTGTCCGCCCTTTTTCCGGGGAGATGCCCACATGCTGCCGCGGCTGGTGCGGCCAAGAGCGTCCACGGGCGCAAGGGGTGCCTACAGGGCAGTTTCCAATACATGGGATTTTCAAACATTGGGTTTTTAATGCATGACTAATTTATGAATGAATTTATGCATGAACTCATCGTCGTTTTGAAATGCTAAATCCTTGCATGTTTGATACATGATCCACACGCGGAGCATGTATTCAAAACGGTACTGTACGCCCACGGTGGCCCTCGATTGCGGAGTGCTTCTGCCACAGCTCGAGAGAGGAGACGGAGAGGGGGGCGGGAGGTAGAGGTAGTATCAGATCGGGCACGTCCTCCTACAAGCGGGCTGTGGATGACAAATGGAACATCGTCAGCCATACCCACACATGGCAACACAAGGTACCAGTGGCAAAAACGTCCCCAGACTACGTCTTGACTATGTTTGAGCATCTCTCCTGTAGAGGGACGTGCCCGACTTCAAGACAGCAGGGAGGGACCTGGGTCTTCCGGTCTTGGCGTCGATGACGATGTCGTAGTTGACCCGCGTGCCGATGAGCGGGAGCACTCCGCCCTCGCACGACTTCGGCATCACGAACATGTTTTCCTCGCAGAGGTACGCGGGAAGCAGGGGGCAGAGGCGGACAACCTCGGTCTCGAGTCGGTCTCGAGAAGAGGGAGGAGGAGGAGGAGGAGGGGGAGGAGGAGGAGGAGGAGGAGGAGGAGGAGGAGGAGGAGGAGGAGGAGGAGGAGGAGGAGGAGGAGGAGGAGGAGGAGGAGTAGGAGGAGGAGGAGGAGGAAGGAGGAGGGGGAAGGGGGGAAAAGGGGGGAGGGGGTGGAGTAGGGGGGGAGAAGGGGGAAGGTGGAGAGGTGCAGGAGGCGAGGGAGTGATGAGACGGTGAAGCGGGTCCACTTCGCCATGAACGCACCTTAGAACAGGACCTGCGATTGACTTGAAGGAGGGGGAGGAGGTGGAAGGCGGTGACCTAGACCTGTAAGTTTCCTAACAAGAGCAAAAATGTCTGATGCACATTTCAGAACCTGGGATAACGTGTTGGAACCAGGGAGCGTGAAACACGAGCCAGGGTGAACAAGCTGGTTCCCACGAGTAAATCGGGAGCTCCAGGGCACTACCGTTGTCCTTCGCGCAACTCAAGCCTTCTGAGGCCTTCCGTTGCCACGGCTGGGTACGATTCGAGATCCTCGTCAGATGGTCCAGGAGGAACCCAGGAGACGTCCAGGAGAGCGACTATCAGAGGAAACAGCAGGACAAGGAAGCAGGAAGGGGGCAGGCGTCCTCGCCGCTGTCTTGATCTATGAAGCCGAAACTGCCGCTGTCCCTGACGTACGTGCCGGCCAGCCGTGCTGGCGGGCCCCAGTCCCCCTTGCCGCCCCAGTCCCCCTTGCCGCCCCAGCCTCCTTTGCGCGAAGCTGGGATCCGCACAGGCCCACCTCCTGGGTGAACCGATCCGCCCGAGGACCAGAGGCAGACTCGGGGGAACGCAGAGGGACAGGTAACCAGCCTCAAACGTATCCCTATCCCTAAGATGGGCGAGCAAAAAGCGAGGACAATCTTAGGGATAGGCCCTCAGAAACTGAGGGAACCCTCAAGATCGGCATCGGGGCGAGGTGATGTCAGACATAGGGATAGGGAGATGCTTCAAACTGGTAGACAGAAGCACTGCCAACTCGGAGGTCCACGCGGCTTTTTCGGCTCGCCGCGCGACTCCCCCTCGCCGGCGCGCGGAGCAACGCCAGGGGCGGCGCCCGAGGCGCCGCCAGGGGGCCCCAGCGCCGATGCGAGGACTCCGCGCGGGCCTCCGAGTTTTTGTTGCTTACGTCGGGCACGCCGTCCCTCTGCAGGAGGAACATGTCCAGAAATAGTCGCAACACGCTCTGGGGACGGCTTGCCTGGGACTTGTTTTCCAACTGTGCTCAGGCACTATGTGGGGGTTATCTTTCGATTGCTCGCCCGGGCTCTGCCTGTCGGGGGACATGCCCGACCTGAGTTTATGGCTCTGCCGTTCTTCGCTCCCCTAGAATTGAAGGGGCCCTGGGACACACAAAGAAATAGAGACGAATAACAGGATTCCCCATAGTTTCATATATGTTCTGGGTTTTCGTCCTCCCCCCCACTTCCCATCTTTCCCTATATTTTCGGGGGAATCGACGACTCATTGTGCCTGTGTGTTTTTTCCCCCTCCTGAAGAGTTTGCCCCCCGGGCGCCAGGCACGACGCGGGGCCCGTGCCGCAAGAGGAGCCCCGACCCCCTCAGCTCGGGAGCGGCCAAGAAGGGGGTGTCCAAGAGGGGGGGGGATGCAAATCATGACCAGCGGCATGTGCGTGGCCCAGCGGGGCACCAGGGACGTAATGAGATAAGAAGAGGCGCCATGACATCTGGGGAAATATCATGGCCCCCGCCATGATATCGACCCCCCCCTAGTCATCACCCCCCTCTTTGCCGCCCCCCATCTCAGCTGGAGTGCGCGCCTCCTACCGGGAGGGCGAGGTGCCCTCCTGCTCTTTCCGCCCCGCTGCCGCCGCCGGGGGGGGAGAGGCGCCTTTCCTCATGCTGTTGAAGGGGCCCTGGGACACACAAACAAATACACACAAATAGCAGGATTCACAATATTTTCCCATATGTTCTGCTGGGTATCTGTCTCCCCCCCCCCTTCCAATATTTTCCCATATTTTCTGGCAGTCGACGATTCATTGTGTCTGTGTGTTTTGTGTTCCTCCTGATTCTGTTGTCCCCGTCGTACCTAAGGACCGCATCCCAGAAATACGTTCGAGCACCCCAAAGGGTGTCGAGACAGTGCCGAAAGAGCATCGCCTCCCAGGGCTCGACACGTGAAAAACCCTCAGCTTCAAGACCTCCGTGTAGCTCGAAATTCTCCCTGGTGCTCAAGGCTGGAATAGGTTGGAACATCATAAGACTTGCCGGAGGCGAGGCCGTGCCCCTATAATAATCATCCATAATAATCACCCCACTCGCGAAGCTGTTCAGTAAACGCACCCCTTGAAGGCATCGAACGGGGCGGGCATGTTTCGTCAACGCCCAGGGCCGTTTGGTAGACGTCAATTGTCGGGTACGGGTGTTTTTTCCTCCCTCGAGTCTTGCCGGAGGCGAGGCCGTGCCAGCCTCCCCCGTGGGACGCGCCACGTGCTGGGGGCGCAGCGAGAGATACAGATACCGGTGCTCTCAGGACCCCTCGAGGCACATCGACAAGCCAAGAGATGAGCATAGAGGCATCGATGCCGATTTCCCCTACCGATAAGCCAAAGAGATATCGATTCCACCAGGGAAAGACCCCAATCGGTGGATGGTTTTCGATAAAAAAGAGATCGACCGGGAACCCAAGAACCCGGAACCCACCAAAATCGGCACGGAACCATGACCAGGAACCCGGGAACCCGGAACCGGGAACCGGGGAACCCAGCCGGCCACCAAAATCGGCGGGACACCTTCGACAAATCTTGAAAATATCTGCTAGGAACCCTTCAGGCGCAGAGAGATATCGACACCGCTGCTCCCAGGACCCCTCAAGGCACATCGACAAGCCAAGAGATGAACAAAGAGACATCGACACCGATATCTGCATACCGATATCCGCTACCGATAAGCAACGATGGCGGTGGACAAGCCTCCCTTTGATAAACCACCCTCTAATAAAAACAGCCTAAGACCGAAACCGGACCTGGACCCACAAAAATGACGGCCTCGACGCCCTCTCGCGAACCGGAAACAGCCAATTCGCTAATCGACGTGTCAGGGTAGAAGGTCCATCAACCCTCGAAAAGAGATGTCGATACCGATACCGATCCATTTATCGCTGCTCCCGCGGTGCGCTCTGCGCACCACCTCGAGGCGAGCGCAGCCGTGGCGACGAGGGCACCCCAGGACCTCTCGAGGCACTTCGATGAGCAAAGAGATGCCGGTATCGATACCCGCGACCGATGAGCACAGAGAGATCGACATCGATGCCGATAGCGACACCGCTGCTCCCGAGGTGCGCTCCGAACAAGACGCGGGGAGGCGCGCGCAGCCGTGGCGGCGGGGGCATCCCCGGAGGCCCACCCTGGCGAACACGAGGGCAGAGCCCAGAGCCTACAGGGCAGTTGTTAATACATTTCTTAATATAGGATTTTAATACATGATAAATGTATGAATGAACTTATGCATGAACTCATCGTTGTCTTTATTGCTGGATCCCTGCATGTTTAATACATGATCCGCACGCGGAGCATGTATATATAAAAAAACGGAACTGTAGTGTTAGACCGGGCATGTTCACTACAGGCGGATGTTGGACGAACCATAAAACAAATCCCCCCAAAAAATGCCTCAACATAATCAACAGATAATCGAAACATCGATCCCAGACTCTTGTTGGACTATTTTTTTGATAAGCCTCCTGTAGAGGGACAGGCCCGACCTAAACCTAATGGCATCGACACCGTCGCCTCCTGTGATACAGTCATCGGCCTGACCTAAGGAATGATACATCAGGAACGAAGCCCCGTGTTTCCAAGGAGTAACGCATAAGCAACGATAGATAATACATAACGCATAAGGAACGATGACTATAGCATGCAAGCCTAAGGAACGGCCGAGCCCCTTTTCAAAAACAAGTGTTCCTTACTCGAGCCGCTCGCTGTATGGGCGATTTCGGAAACCCTGAACCCAACAACGTTCTCATCTCTTGGGAAGCGTTTTTTGCTTCCGTCGCCATCCGCCGGCCTCCGCCCGCGGAGGCGGCCTCGTTTTGCTTCCGCCGACCTTCCGCCGCCCCTCCGCCGCCTTCCGCGTCGGAAGAGATGACCACTCCTTCTATCCTCGAAGGCATCGCCTGTTCTGGAACGCCCCATGTGCAGATCCCGGCCTCGGGCCTTTGGCTCCGTCTGCGCCCCAGCCGCTCGCCGAGGCGCTCCACGCCGCCCAGGCGCCATCGGCGGCGCCCCCCTCGGGCCTCACGTGATCGGCCCTGGGCCTGCCAGTCTTCGTGTCCAGCACGACCTCAGAGAAGCGCGTTCCGCTGTTCGCAGAGTCACTGCTCGAAACCGGCCTGGATCCGCCGTGGGGGATATATATGCTCAGCCCCACCACTGTGAAAAATACATATAGATGTATAAATAAGGATAAACGTAGATTACATATATGTACATATAATTTCCGATATGTTACATCGAGACAAACGTGGGTTTTCCAACGTTTGCGAGTGGGCACTCTCCGAGCAGTGCAACGCGCCCGGTGAGACCTGGTAGACCACGCGGGTGCCGATCGGCGGCAGGGCCCCGCCGAAGCCGTCGCAGGACTTGGGCAGCACGAACATCTTCTCCTCGCCCGAGTCCTGCTGGATGAACCCGAACTTGCCCTGGTCCTCGCCGCGAACAGCAACCACGTCTGATGGGCCAGCTGTCCACAACCGCTACCACACGTAGGACGAGGGAGAAGGGAGGATGGGAAGGTCCTCCTCCTCCTCCTCCTCCTCCCTATCCAACCTATGGTAGTGGTGGTGGAAAGTCGGCCCATCAATATCCGTGCCCGCGCCCGCGCGGACTGGACTCTGGAGCGCGAATCCCCGAGGGCACAAGCGGTCGTAGGGACACGTCCCGAGCGGGTCGTCCGCGGAACGACGTCACGTATCCGCGGGGTCGCGGCTCAGAGGCCCAGCCCGCAGGCCGCGCATACGGATCGTGTGCTTCGCCCGCGACCTTGACGAAGCTGCCGGAGGACACCTCCGCGGGTTGCTCTGCCTGGTCACCGGGCTGCTCCGGGCGAACGTCCTGCGAAGGAGGGCGAGGGCCACTTCCGACCACCCCCCCTCAATCGCCTCCTCAAACGCCCAGATGTCCGTCGACCTGACGTGATCAACCCCAGCGTGCTTCGGACGCTGCGTGCTGGGAGGGGCGAGGGGCGGGCAGAAAGATGCGTCCCTGGTGCCCTTTTGGGGCCCCAGGGGGCGCCTTCAGGGCCCTCGCAGGGTACACGAAGCGTACCTCTCTCCAGCCCCAACATTATCACCCCCTCATTATCGGGGGCGGCAAAAAGGGCGTCCAAGAGGGGGGGTGCAAGTCACGGCCGGCGGCATGTGCGCGGCCCGGGGGGGGGCCGGGCACGTATTAAAACAAGAAGAGGCGCCATGAAATCCGCCGACCCTGTCGGCGTGTGTGAGGGGCTTCTCCGTTCGACTCGTCGTCTCCGTCGTCTCCGTTCTCCCCATCCCAGGGCTCTCCTCCTCAAGCGCGCTATCCAAAGCGAAATTAAACGACGTCGTAGGGGAGTCGAAGGGGAGCCCCTTCCTTTTGATCCATTCCCCGCAAGGGGGGGGAGGGAGGGGGTGGGCCCGGGGCAGATACGACGCCCGCCGGGGCGCACTTTCCTCGAGCTCGAGCGGGCACGCACGGGATGCACTTC